GCGGCTAGAGCTTATGACCTTGCTGCTCTAAAATATTGGGGTCCAGGGACTCTTATTAATTTTCCAGTAAGATAAGTGCTTGGATGGTTATGTTCACAGCAGGACTCATTGGGGGAGAAAGAAATGCTGTGTCTATTTTTCTTTTTCTTTTTCTTTTTAGGCCAAAAGGGTCATATGTCTATTCATTTCTTACTTTATTTTCTGATATCAAAAGATGCGTTGCATGACCAGAATTTGAAATTGAAAACTGCCACTTTGCTCAGGGACTATTAAGTGTAGTGTCTACAATCTTTACCCCAATTAAAAAAAAAAAAAAAAAGCATTTACAATGCATTCTTTCCCTGAGACATTACTTGCACAATACTCTATTTTGCTCTGAATTGACTTGTGGTATGAATCTAACAAATTCAGTGCTCTATTTTTCAAGAAAAGTGCAAACATGCTATTCTCTTCTGATAGACACAATCAGATACTCGTTTTATTTGTGGGCTGTTGACATGCGCAGTGTCTAATTTTTCTAAGATGTACGTTTTGATAATAACCAACCTATGAATTAAATACCTTAAATCTGGTGGCCTTCGGCAGGAAGGGGGAAGACAAGATGTTCTACTTCTGGTATATACAATAATTTCTGCATCAAGTTTTGATCTTTGTACTGCAGGTGTCTGATTATACAAGAGATCTTGAAGAAATGCAGAATTTTTCGAGAGAAGAATACCTAGCGTCTTTACGACGGTATATACACACACACTTCACCAAATATATCCTATCAGGAATTCAACTGCGTTGCTAACATGTGATGCTTTCTGCAGGAAGAGCAGTGGCTTTTCTAGAGGAATCTCAAAATATCGTGGACTCTCCAGGTGTGGATCCATCTTGAAGGATGCCAAATGCATGAAAACCACATAGCCAAACATATCCTTTGTAAACTGGTGTTTATTCTCCGCTAGAGAGTATATTATAATGGTTTTCAAACAGAAATGTTGCTTTATATGCTTTCTATCACCCACTTTGAATTTTAATGCTCGTCACTGCACATTTATGGTGCCCGACACGGATTTGATTGTTAATTTTAATTCTGCATTTCATATTGCATGTGATGGTACAAAAAAATTAGTCGATGGGAGCCATCATATGGTCGCATGGCTGGATCTGACTACTTCAATAGCATACATTATGGTAAGTCCTAATCATATTTAGTGCTCAAGCAATCATCTGTCAAACCTAATTTGTAGAAACCGCGTCTTTGATGGTAAAATTAAACTAGATTCTTTGGCTTGCATGAATTCAACTGATTTCACCAGTTTTATCTGCTAGATCACTACCATCTTATTGCTCTGTAATATTAAAGGTACAGGTGACGACTCAGCTGCAGAAAGTGAATATTTAAGTGGTTTCGGTGTGGACAGAAAAACTGATTTAACGAGTTACATTAAATGGTGGGGATCTAATAAGAGTCGCCAAGCTGATACTGGAACAAAATTATCAGAAGAAAAAAACCGTAGTTTTGCTGGAGGAGACCATGGCAGTGAGCTCAGAACATTGGAACAGCAAACACGACCTACTGAACCATATCAGATGCCACGGTTAGGCACGTCCCATGATGAAAAAAGGCATAAAAATCCTTCAGTTTCTGCTTTAAGTATCTTGTCTCGATCAGCTGCCTACAAGAGCTTGCTAGAGAACGCATCAAAGAGAGAGGGAAATAGCACTGACCCTAATGAAAATGAAAACAAAAATGGCATTGATAAGTTGGACCGTGGCAAGGCTGTGGAGAAATCATCAAATCATGATGGCGGCAATGAAGGACCTGAATCTGTAATGGGGATGAGTGGGGCTTTGTCTCTTCAAAAGAATGTTTACAACCCACTGGCTCCATTCTTGTCTGCACCCCTTTTGACTGCTTGTAGTACTATCGATCCCTTAGTAGATCCTCTTCTCTGGACGTCTCTTGCTCCTATGCTTCCTGCTGGCCTTCCCCGTAATGCTGAGGTTGGTAGATTTTTATTGTACTTTACTTGAATGAATTTGTTTTCTTCAGAACATTATTTCATTCAACGCCGTAATATATGTTTTAAAGATCATCTCTTTACATGTTTACAAGCCTTATTTTCTTGTGCTGTTAGTACTAGCTACAATGTTATTTGTCGTTTGATGCTGATTAATGATTATATTTCTGGAATTCATCTTAAATGGTTCTGTTTCTGCATTTTGACGGGTATATGAGGAATAATTCTAGATAGGTAAATTCTGAAATAGCATAGCCACCAAATGTCAGTAATTCTAGACTCATTACTGATTTTCATTCAATTACCTGTTCGGAATGGAAACTATCTGACGAATGACAGTAATGAAATGGCTAAGACAACAAATGTTTAGAAGTCGGTAACACAAAACAGTTGTGATATATTTCCATTCGTCAATTTCTCCCCAGGTCATTTAAGAGTCACTCATTACATTCTGTGTGGATTCATACCACCAAAAACATGTGGACTCATTTGCAGGTTACAAAGACTGAGGCCAGTTCATCTTATAGCGTCTTCCAGCCGGAGGACTGAATGGAAGTTCCCTTTGAAAGGATTTGTGATGTGAAGAATAGCGAGTTCCTGAAGAACTGAGTAACATAATTGGGAGGGCTCCGTCTGTTCAGATCTTCATACAGAACGAGAGATCCAAGTGTCTGACTAGCTCAATGGTCTGAGAAAATGCCCCCATGGCTTGAAGCCCTGAACTATGCATGCTTATTGTGATACACAAACTAGGAACTTTGACATAAAAGATTACTGTGCTCAGTGCTCTATACATAGATGACATATATAGGGTTATAACAAATCATTTCTTGCGATATGTTGCTGTCAAGTTTTTGCAGGCGGTATCGAAGAGGGTGATTTCATGTACAGAACGTACGAGGGAGGAAGAAGTATATTAGACAATTTTATTTTATGTTTGATTTGTTTGTTTGAGTTAGACAGTGCTATGTCATATTTGATTCGTTCGCAACGTAAGATACATGCCAAGAGAGCAATGGTTTGAAGTTTAATCATCGGATACGTACCAGGAAGTTAATTTGAAGCCAACAAATTTTGGTTTGTGGGGAAAATTCTACGTTGTGGTTGAGGATAAAGTCTTCGCCTTTGAATTTATGAGTGATCAGCCAGACAAACACCATGCAGATTTCAAAATCACGAAATATTCTTGCAATTTGATTCCTCCCATTTCGTTAGCAATCAATACGAAGATAGTACAAACATAAAAATCCTCCTTCTATGCTTTCCTACTTTTCGCCCTCCATCAAATTAAACCTTTCATTTTGTTGACTTCTGCTCTCAATTTTGACCTCTCACTAATTCCTTTTCTTTTTTTCACTTGCACCCTAAGGTAGCGTTTTGTAGGAAGCATTAAAAATAAGGTATTGAGATTAGAATTGCAATTGAAAAAATTTATTAAAAGAGTGTTTAATATAAGAAATTGTTTGTTATATAGGATTAGCCAGATTAGAGAATATCATGGGGGAAGTGGTATTCCTCAATCCTACCTCTATAGGTTTACCTAATCTCATATAATAAGCAATTATTCATGTTAAATACTACTCCTCCGGTCCTAAATATAAGGGTTTTATATTTAAGACCGAAGGGATATTTTAATGATTTCTTTTCAATTGCAATCCCAATCTTAATATCTCATTTTCAATACTTCGTATCAAACGAGACCTAAATAGTTCCTACAAAACTACACCACATCTTATTTTTATTATGACCTGAATCGATATCAATTGACTTGTCGCTGGCTTCATTGGTTCAAAGTGAAACACATAATTATGTCTATCACATGCATACTGGGATTTGCAGAGTTGGACGGCCGGTGGTTCTATAAGAAATCAATAAAAAAAACAAAAACAAAAACAAAAGATTGAAAACGTGCGCATTGCTTGCTTTGTTGGAAGAAGAAAAGGTTGTTGGATTTGGCTGCTACTAGAAGGGAATTAGAAGAAGGATTTAAAAAAGTGGAAATTAAAAGCGAACGTTTTCCATGAGAGGAAGAAGAGTCCAGGTTCAGGGGGCCGCCAACGATTCTGAAAAAGTAGGGAATCCTACAAGGCTTAAATTTGATCACATCAAAATTCAAAATTTGCAGGCCATAATAGCAATTGGCTAGACAAATCGAACACACTTCAGATTTTTTTCCCCCTCATTACTTACTTAGTATTTATAATATCTTTTTTATAGAGAGTTTAAATGTCAACCTCATATTTAAGAGAGATTAATATCATTAGACTGCGAAGCTTCAGAATTCTTGTCTTATTCCTGAATTCTAAAATTAATATCAATTTCGAATCGGCGAATCCATCGTCATCACATTTGCAGGTATTCCTGCCCTTCCCAGACTTTAACAACCGACCGTATTAGAATCGAAGGAATCTTGCCTTTTTTGGGGCGACATGGATACATCCCTGTTTATAACCTTTTTCAGTCAGATTTTGAAAACAAAATATTTTTTTTTTACTTTTAGAATTGTGTGTTAATGAATAGCAAATGGTGTTGGTTTTATTTTTAGGCTTTAAAATATTTTTAATGAAAAAATTGAATTAATATTTTTTTGGGCAAAACTTATGATTCGGTCGGGTCATATAATTACTAAGAAATTATTTTGTTGCATTAAAAAAAAAGTCATAATCTCCTGGAAAATTGATCCATATGACATAAATAGAAGTTCACATGATTTTAACTGACATTTAATTTGGACTAACCGCTTCCCCTAAGACGGGATAAAAATGGAGCAGTTAAAATCTTTTTATAATCTTGCCCTGTCAGCATGTTTTCAATTCTCATTGTAGTCATTGGTGTTAATGAATCACAAAGTAGAAAGTCACACATCTTTTTAAAAATAAATAAATAAATAAAATATCACCTATCTCTTGAGAATAATCAAAATCAGTCAATTATATTTCACTGGGATTAATTAAACAGAATCACGACTCTATTACATTTGTAATTCTGATGAAAGACCGTATAATAACGTAACAATGTGATTTGTTTGATATAACACAGCACATAAAACTAGATACAATTGAACTGTCTTCACTGTTGAATTTCATTCCTGACTTTTTGGTTTTTTGCCAGCAATTTCATTCCTGACTTAGACGATATTATATTATTATATTTAACACTGTACGTATGGTATATTATGATCTATGACGGATTCATTTGCATGACTGGGGCAGTAAAATACTGGGATTATTATTTGTCTCTGTCTTCAAGTCTCTCTGTCCTTGGTTCACATCGAGCCTTACCCCAAATAACATAGGCCTCTCGTCTTCCTGCTCGGTTTTCTTGGCATGCTTAGCCACGAGCTCAAGCAGGTCCTTGCACTTCCTCTTCATGGCCGTGAGCTCAGAGTTCAATGCCCCATTCTCTCTCTTGAGTCTCTTGTTTTCGTCCACGAGAGTTGAATAACCAGAAGACGAAGAGGTTGAAGAAGACCTTTGGTCTTCCTCTGAATATTCCTGATGATTTCCTTGTGTTCCTGCTGGTTGTTGTTGTTGCCTGCTTGACCACGCCTTTCTTCGTCTAATCTCGCTTAGTTTTTCTCTCTCCCCCTTCCTAAATTTGTTGTTGCAAAATTCCCATCTGTTCGTCGCCGCTTTACGAAATCCCTGCGATCATATTAACAAGTTTAATCCTTTTCATGTTGCTCAGCAATATATTGATGATAATCCCAGTACTTTACTCAATCAAAGACGACAGGGGTTTGAAATGGCCAAAACTTGTGGATTACACGCTTGCAGTGTCTTCTTAAATACATAATCCTACCTTTCTTCACCGGATAATTATAAATTAAACTTTTCATTTGGCTTCTCCACAGTAATACAAAAACTAAAGCCGATCGATAAGAAAACTGAAAGCGGCAAGAAGGCAATTACGTGGGGAAAATAAAGATGCTGGATTATATATGTGTACGTACATAGGTATTCAGCTGGCGAACAAAGCTAGAGAAGTTGCTGTGCTTGAAGAGAGTAGGAAGAAGGTCGCGGGCAAACTCCGCCGGCTGCCACACCACAAACGCCGTGCCGTCAGCGTTCCACGATATGACGTCGTCGGTGGCGGGATCCTCCACCAGCATGTATGTCTTTAACAAGAAGGGTGGTGGGTTCGACTTCCTTGCATGTAACTGATCCAACGACTCTTTGTTCTTCACTTCCTCCATCATCATCACTTCCTTTCTTTCCATACCTGCCTGTATCTATCAGGAGGAGGAAGAAGAAGAAGAAGGAGTTGACGAGGACGGTTGATTGATGAGAAAGAAGAGAAGAAGAGCAGTTAAGAATTCCCAACCCCAGCAATAGAAACCCAACACGACTCCACAGTTCATGAGAATTGCAACCCCCTTAATTTCCCTTCTATTTCTTCCCCTCTTCTTTCCTCCTTCCTCAATAAATATTTGAAACGTATGTTCTAAGCCTTCCCCCTCATTATATAGTCAACTATTTCACAGCTCCCACTATGTATATTTTTCTTTCCCATTCAAAAAATTTATATCATGCCGCGTAAAAGAGATGAATTTTCCCAGTCAAATCAACAAGTTTATTTTATCTATCTTTTTTCTTCGTCCCGATTCGTGTTCACAATACATGAACCTGCTTATTAGTTAAATGCAAGACAAAGCAACACGAGCGTGTGAAGTGGTGATTAGTCAACAGTAATACTCCCTCTGTTCCTTATTATAAAAGACATTTGATGCTTATGGCATGTTCCTATATATAAGAGACACTTAAAAGTTGTCTCTACTTTTTTGTGTTGATTTCCTATTTTACCCATATTTATTGTCTCTAACTCACACTCTCTCTCCTTCCCACTTCTCTTTCTTTTAATAATTCACCATTGTTCTCTCTCCTTATTAATGAGGGCATTTTTGAAAAAAAAAATTATACTTTTAACACATTAATTATTCTTAACTAATTTTAACAGTTTTTTTGATCGACGTAATTCGGTTATTCGTCTCTTATAATAAGGAACGGAGGGAGTATCTTTTAAGAAAGTCAAAAGAAATTAAAGTCGACAGGGTCGCAAAGCAAATATTGACTAATGCGAATTTGTCGCACAGAAATCAAACCTACGAACGGAGCAGGAGAGATGAAAACAACACGGCGTTATCCAGATTATGGTGAACTTGGAATAACAATTAAGAAAAGACAGGAACATGGACTTGGCATGGGGGAGTGTTTGGCGGAATTGAGAGACAAAATTTTCTATGAAAATAATGTTTGTTTAAGATGTGTAGGTGTGCTGATATTTTCATTAAGCAATAATAATAATAATAATCTTACGTGTAGATTCCTTCTCTTCCAGAGCTTTTCTCCTACGTCGTGCCACAGTTTTGATTTATTCCTTTAATGCATGATGGCGATATAATCATATAATGCCTTTGTGGCCTTTTCTCTAATTAATTAAAGGAATTACTTCTTTATTTGACTTTTTGCATTCTTCCAGCTGTCCTTTTTCTTCCATTCGGCTTTCAACACTGATACACTCCAAACCCAGTTAGCCCCCCTTCTCACCTTAAAACGAATTAATATTACATTTTCTCAAGTCCTGATCATAAATATAAAGAGGTAGTTGAGAGGTTCATGTCAATCTTCTTCTTTTTTTAGTAAAATATTTATTTCAATCTTAAAAAATCTTAATTTTCCTTGTCAATCAAATTTATAACTTTTTTTCAAACTATTTTTTATTGAATACACGTAGTAAGATTTATAATTACGATGTAGTTCTAATACAAGTAATAATTAATAGAGATATTTTAAGAAAATCAACCCATGTTTTTTTCTAAATAATTAATTTAATTAATTTTTATAATTTAATACAAATTATTTAATCTAATTTTAATAATTGCAGGTGAAAATGTTTCCCCTCTTTGTATATATCCCAAATATGAGATTTAGTTTATAATATAAATTATATTATAAAGTGAATTTTGTATTCAGTAAAAATGGTAGTATTATCCATCACATCAAAACAGAAAATGGTCGTATTATCCATGTTTCATGTTTCGGGAATAAACAAGTTTGCGGGGGATGATTCTATTTTGGTGGGACCGGTTAAATTAGGCATCAGTTCAGTAGGTCTGGGTTTGGCCAAAAAAAAAAAGTAGGTTTGGGGCCATGTTGGATATCAGATTAGGCCATTTCTCACCTCAAGATGCATCCATCGACCTCCATGCACATTCGAGATAATCACCTTCAGAAGATTCCTGCATAGTACGTCTATATATCTACCATAATCATACTCTACATTTAGATATTTAATTATTTATTACAGAGCCGGTAAACCGAGGTGTGAAAAGACCAATTAGTTTTTCAAACTTCGTGTAGAAAACTACATAATTTTTGTGTGTGTGTGTGTGTGAAAAATTCCCATTTCCCATTTATTTCAACATATACACTGTAACATGTGTGATGACCCAATTGCCCTTCTTTTTTTAACAAAAATTACATGTAGCCCCCTTAAAAGCTTTTTTTTTTTTTTTTACGCATGAGTAACATTCTATTGAAAACAATCCTATTTGAAACACTGTTGAGTACTAAATGTGAGTACTTCTCTCAACAAATATCTGGATCCTAATTTGTCACGTTATAAGAAATTAGCCATTTCTGTTAGATCTAACCTCTACTTGTCTAAAAAATTATTTAATCAGTGTAATAGAAACATTTAATATGTCTATGCTAAATACACAAACAATTTGATACATACATTTTCATTACTCTTTTCAGTTTTGAATGCAACACCTATTCCGTAGTGTAATTTATATGATAAAATGTATTTTATATTTAAGGCGGAAGAGTAATTTTTTTTCCCCTCTCGAACGTTTCCGAGACAAACTCAAAAAACTGAGTTTGCCTTTATCCATATAGTCAGGGGACTTGGACAAATTTAAGAAGCTACTGAATTTGGTTGGCCCGCTCAACTTTCTTGACTGCTTGAGATTTTAAAACCTTCCCTTCTTTCTCTCTTTTTTGAGGTCTTCAACCTTAACGAGTACGCCTCAACAACCACCTTCCCTTCGTTACATTGAAAAACTGCGTGTCTTCGTTTCCCTCATGTAGCGTCCTTTCAAACTGCAAATTCAGAACCGTAACTAATGCAAACTCCACGTTTTTTTCATTTCATATTACTATTTCTAATTTCGTATCATTTCGTTTCTCTCCGGGCATGGCCTTCCATTTGACACTTTATGCCCCAAAAAAAACACACACACACACAAACTCAATTATTTAATTGTTTGGCTGTATTTCTGGGTCAATCACGAAGTTTCACTGTTAGGGAATGAAATTGTTTTCCCTTGATTTCTTCAAAGCGTGCTTGACGGGGAAGAGTCTTTTCATTAGTAGATTATGTTGTCAAACGCGGGTGAGTGGTTTCTTTTTATATTATTATTCTATAAAATTGAGGAATATTTTCAAATAAAATTTTGAAATAAGTCATCTTCATGCGAAAAGAATGTGCCGTTCAAATTATTGTGGGGCAGATGGTTACCGAAGGAGATTTTTTTTTTCGGTAACAAAAGGTTTAGGTGGGTTCGGTACCGGTCAACCCACCAAGGCTAGTTCACGGCCCGAGAGCCTAGAGAGCACTTACAAGGGACTTACGAGATCGCCTACCAATAGAGTCCTCACGACAGCATGAGGAGCCGAACTTGCGTCCTTGTGGGATACAAGTCTGCTCCACTGACCATCTGTGCCGACATCTGTTGGCGAAGGGGATTATTTTTGAGTGGGGCTATGTTTTACACGGGCTAGTATGGGCCGTCTGCCTTCTCCAGTTTGGCCCAAATTGCAACCGTTACCTCCGCCATGGCTCACCAATGTAAGTCCCTATTATGATTCATTCACTAAGCAGCAAACTGTGAGTCCCCAGATGGCCCATGCATATTTAACCAGGGACAAATATGTCATATTTGTCAATAATAGGTGATTGGGTTGTTAAAAAGTCAGCTTACAATTCACAAAGTAGTGAGTTTGAATCTCGCTACAAATATAAGAACCTTATTGATGTGCAATCTGTAAGTACCTCGGTAAGTATTCTCTGAGTCTAGAGGTATATTCTAACCCTGATGAATCAAAGCATTCAACTCATCTAAATTTTCTTTATGTAGGAAAAAATGCCATATATCTCTGGCCAATGTATGTGTATATATGCCATGTTTTAAATATGAATAAAGAACTAGTGACGACACTAATGTCATATGAGATCAAATGTCACTGCTCACTACAAATCAATTCTCGGGATAGAATGTGTCCGCAAGTAAATTATCAATCATTTAGTTAATTATTCAGCTCGATTGTATCTGCTCAGCTCTGCAAGCATGATGATAATGCCAATGGAACCGAGTTGATTGTCCCTTTGTTAATCATTGAATCTTAAACATCAAAATTATCTTTAAAATCACTAAACAAATTTTGTTGGATGCCTTGATCATCTTTTCTCCATTAAAGAACTACTCCTCCGGTCCTAATTATAAGACCCAATTGACTTATTTGAGGAGATTAAGGAAGTAAGTTAAGTTGGTTATTTATAATAAATAAGTGTTGTTATTCCTAAAATATCCTTGCTAATTAAGTATATTGGCTAAAACTATCATTATTAGAAGGATTATCTTGGAAAAAAATACATAAATATAAAAGAGAAAATGGATTGGGTCTTATAATTAGGACCAAATAAAAAGTCAAATTGGGTCTTATAATAAAGACCGGAGGAGTATAAAATATGGCATCGGAGTATCTCTTACTTGGATTTGCAAACGAGCATGACCAGAAAAAAAACCACTTGCATCTGTCCATGTTAATATATTCTTGATACAAAAAAAAAGCTTAAATATAAAATTAAAAAAAAACCACCTTTAAAACAAAAATTCAAGAAACGCCATTATTCAGATATACAAAGTTTTAAGATAAACATTCAAACTGTTTATGTTTTTCAAAAGCACATGCAAATCAGTAATTATGTTTTATTCTTTTGAAATAAGAACATTTCCACGTACAATATACATACTCCATGAACAACGGGGCTGGGTACAAAATTTATGTTCTATACTATTAACTGATGAATATTAATTTTAACTAACACAAGAAATGTGTACGCATATTTTTTTTTAATACTCCATTTATTTGAAAATTTCCACTTTGAAATTTTGAGCTTGTTCCAATACAATTCCAAAATTTTAATTATTTTTATGTCATAATTTATTAATGAAATTAATAGCAAGTTAAATTCACCTGCCATTAAGTTTTACATTTTAATTACAAAAAACATTATTTAATAAATTCATAAAATTATAAAACAGGGGCAGCGCGTGTTCCACAAGCACGTACGATATAAAGAAAAACGGACCAATTTCAGCAGATGGCGCTTTAACTACTCTTCTCTCATTGTATGGTCTTAAACTTCAATGGCTGCTGCGAAGATA